CACTGAGTGATGTACACCAGGTGAGTAGTGTCACTGAGTGATGTACATCAGGTGAGTAGTGTCACTGAGTGATGTACACAGGGTGAGTAGTGTCACTGAGTGATGTACACCAGGTGAGTAGTGTCACTGAGTGATGTACACCAGGTGAGTAGTGTCACTGAGTGATGTACACCAGGTGAGTAGTGTCACTGAATGATGTACACCAGGTGAATAGTGTCGCTGAGTGATGTACACCAGGTGAGTAGTGTCACTGAGTGATGTACACAGGGTGAGTAGTGTCACTGAATGATGTATACAGGGTGAGTAGTGTCACTGAGTGATGTACACCAGGTGAGCAGTGTCACTGAGTAATGTACACCAGGTGAGTGATGTACACCAGGTGAGTGATGTACACCAGGTGAGTGATGTACACCAGGTGAGTAGTGTCACTGAGTGATGTACACAGGGTGAGTAGTGTCACTGAGTGATGTACACCAGGTGAGTAGTGTCACTGAGTGATGTACACCAGGTGAGTAGTGTCACTGAGTGATGTACACCAGGTGAGTAGTGTCACTGAGTGATGTACACCAGGTGAGTAGTGGTCACTGAGTGATGTACACCAGGTGAGTAGTGTCACTGAGTGATGTACACCAGGTGAGTAGTGTCACTGAGTGATGTATACAGGGGTGAGTAGTGTCACTGAGTGATGTACACCAGGTGAGTAGTGTCACTGAGTGATGTACACCAGGTGAGTAGTGTCGCTGAGTGATGTACACCAGGTGAGTAGTGTCACTGAGTGATGTACACCAGGTGAGTAGTGTCGCTGAGTGATGTACACCAGGTGACTAGTGTCACTGAGCGATGTACACCAGGTGAGTAGTGTCACTGAGTGGTGTACACAGGGTGAGTAGTGTCACTGAGTGATGTACACCAGTGAGTAGTGTCGCTGAGTGATGTACACCAGGTGAGTAGTGTCACTGAGTGATGTACACCAGGTGAGTAGTGTCACTGAGTGATGTACATCAGGTGAGTAGTGTCACTGAGTGATGTACACAGGGTGAGTAGTGTCACTGAGTGATGTACACCAGGTGAGTAGTGTCACTGAGTGATGTACACCAGGTGAGTAGTGTCACTGAGTGATGTACATCAGGTGAGTAGTGTCACTGAATGATGTACACCAGGTGAGTAGTGTCGCTGAGTGATGTACACCAGGTGAGTAGTGTCACTGAGTGATGTACACAGGGTGAGTAGTGTCACTGAATGATGTATACAGGGTGAGTAGTGTCACTGAGTGATGTACACCAGGTGAGCAGTGTCACTGAGTGATGTACACCAGGTGAGTGATGTACACCAGGTGAGTGATGTACACCAGGTGAGTGATGTACACCAGGTGAGTAGTGTCACTGAGTGATGTACACAGGGTGAGTAGTGTCACTGAGTGATGTACACCAGGTGAGTAGTGTCACTGAGTGATGTACACCAGGTGAGTAGTGTCACTGAGTGATGTACACCAGGTGAGTAGTGTCACTGAGTGATGTACACCAGGTGAGTAGTGTCACTGAGTGATGTACACCAGGTGAGTAGTGTCACTGAGTGATGTATACAGGGTGAGTAGTGTCACTGAGTGATGTACACCAGGTGAGTAGTGTCACTGAGTGATGTACACCAGGTGAGTAGTGTCACTGAGTGAAGTACACCAGGTGAGTAGTGTCACTGAGTGATGTATACAGGTGAGTAGTGTCACTGAGTGATGTACACCAGGTGAGCAGTGTCACTGAGTGATGTACACCAGGTGAGTAGTGTCACTGAGTGATGTACACAGGTGAGTAGTGTCACTGAATGATGTACACCAGGTGAATAGTGTCACTGAGTGATGTACACCAGGTGAGTAGTGTCACTGAGTGATGTACACCAGGTGAGTAGTGTCACTGAGTGATGTACATCAGGTGAGTAGTGTCACTGAGTGATGTACACAGGTGAGTAGTGTCACTGAGTGATGTACACCAGGTGAGTAGTGTCACTGAGTGATGTACACCAGGTGAGTAGTGTCACTGAGTGATGTACACCAGGTGAGTAGTGTCACTGAATGATGTACACCAGGTGAATAGTGTCGCTGAGTGATGTACACCAGGTGAGTAGTGTCACTGAGTGATGTACACAGGTGAGTAGTGTCACTGAGTGATGTATACAGGTGAGTAGTGTCACTGAGTGATGTACACCAGGTGAGCAGTGTCACTGAGTATGTACACCAGGTGAGTGATGTACACCAGGTGAGTGATGTACACCAGGTAGAGTGATGTACACCAGGTGAGTGATGTACACCAGGTGAGTAGTGTCCACTGAGTGATGTACACAGGGTGAGTAGTGTCACTGAGTGATGTACACCAGGTGAGTAGTGTCACTGAGTGATGTACACCAGGTGAGTAGTGTCACTGAGTGATGTACACCAGGTGAGTAGTGTCACTGAGTGATGTACACCAGGTGAGTAGTGTCGCTGAGTGATGTACACCAGGTGAGTAGTGTCACTGAGTGATGTATACAGGGTGAGTAGTGTCACTGAGTGATGTACACCAGGTGAGTAGTGTCACTGAGTGATGTACACCAGGTGAGTAGTGTCGCTGAGTGATGTACACCAGGTGAGTAGTGTCACTGAGTGATGTACACCAGGTGAGTAGTGTCGCTGAGTGATGTACACCAGGTGACTAGTGTCACTGAGCGATGTACACCAGGTGAGTAGTGTCACTGAGTGGTGTACACAGGGTGAGTAGTGTCACTGAGTGATGTACACCAGGTGAGTAGTGTCGCTGAGTGATGTACACCAGGTGAGTAGTGTCACTGAGTGATGTACACCAGGTGAGTAGTGTCACTGAGTGATGTACACAGGTGAGTAGTGTCACTGAGTGATGTACACAGGTGAGTAGTGTCACTGAGTGATGTACACCAGGTGAGTAGTGTCACTGAGTGATGTACATCAGGTGAGTAGTGTCACTGAGTGATGTACATCAGGTGAGTAGTGTCACTGAGTGTTGTACACCAGGTGAGTAGTGTCGCTGAGTGATGTACACCAGGTGAGTAGTGTCACTGAGTGATGTACACAGGGTGAGTAGTGTCACTGAGTGATGTACACCAGGTGAGTAGTGTAGCTGAGTGATGTACACCAGGTGAGTAGTGTCACTGAGTGATGTACACCAGGTGAGTAGTGTCACTGAGTGATGTACACAGGGTGAGTAGTGTCACTGAATGATGTACACCAGGTGAGTAGTGTCACTGAGTGATGTACACCAGGTGAGTAGTGTCACTGAGTGATGTACACCAGGTGAGTAGTGTCACTGAGTGATGTACATCAGGTGAGTAGTGTCACTGAGTGGTGTACACAGGGTGAGTAGTGTCACTGAGTGATGTACACCAGGTGAGTAGTGTCGCTGAGTGATGTACACCAGGTGAGTAGTGTCACTGAGTGATGTACACCAGGTGAGTAGTGTCACTGAGTGATGTACATCAGGTGAGTAGTGTCACTGAGTGATGTACACAGGGTGAGTAGTGTCACTGAGTGATGTACACCAGGTGAGTAGTGTCACTGAGTGATGTACACCAGGTGAGTAGTGTCACTGAGTGATGTACATCAGGTGAGTAGTGTCACTGAATGATGTACACCAGGTGAGTAGTGTCGCTGAGTGATGTACACCAGGTGAGTAGTGTCACTGAGTGATGTACACAGGGTGAGTAGTGTCACTGAATGATGTATACAGGGTGAGTAGTGTCACTGAGTGATGTACACCAGGTGAGCAGTGTCACTGAGTGATGTACACCAGGTGAGTGATGTACACCAGGTGAGTGATGTACACCAGGTGAGTAGTGTCACTGAGTGATGTACACAGGGTGAGTAGTGTCACTGAGTGATGTACACCAGGTGAGTAGTGTCACTGAGTGATGTACACCAGGTGAGTAGTGTCACTGAGTGATGTACACCAGGTGAGTAGTGTCACTGAGTGATGTACACCAGGTGAGTAGTGTCACTGAGTGATGTACACCAGGTGAGTAGTGTCACTGAGTGATGTATACAGGGTGAGTAGTGTCACTGAGTGATGTACACCAGGTGAGTAGTGTCACTGAGTGATGTACACCAGGTGAGTAGTGTCACTGAGTGAAGTACACCAGGTGAGTAGTGTCACTGAGTGATGTATACAGGTGAGTAGTGTCACTGAGTGATGTACACCAGGTGAGCAGTGTCACTGAGTAATGTACACCAGGTGAGTGATGTACACCAGGTGAGTGATGTACACCAGGTGAGTGATGTACACCAGGTGAGTAGTGTCACTGAGTGATGTACACAGGGTGAGCAGTGTCACTGAATGATGTACACCAGGTGAGTAGTGTCACTGAGTGATGTACACCAGGTGAGTAGTGTCACTGAGTGATGTACACCAGGTGAGTAGTGTCACTGAGTGATGTACACCAGGTGAGTAGTGTCACTGAGTGATGTACACCAGGTGAGTAGTGTCACTGAGTGATGTATACAGGGTGAGTAGTGTCACTGAGTGATGTACACCAGGTGAGTAGTGTCACTGAGTGATGTACACCAGGTGAGTAGTGTCACTGAGTGATGTACACCAGGTGAGTAGTGTCACTGAGTGAAGTACACCAGGTGAGTAGTGTCACTGAGTGATGTACACCAGGTGAGTAGTGTTACTGAGTGATGTACACCAGGTGAGTAGTGTCACTGAGTGATGTACACCAGGTGAGCAGTGTCACTGAGTAATGTACACCAGGTGAGTGATGTAAACCAGGTGAGTGATGTACACCAGGTGAGTGATGTACACCAGGTGAGTGATGTACACCAGGTGAGTAGTGTCACTGAGTGATGTACACCAGGTGAGTGATGTACACCAGGTGAGTGATGTACACCAGGTGAGTGATGTACACCAGGTGAGTGATGTACACCAGGTGAGTGATGTACACCAGGTGAGTGATGTACACCAGGTGAGTGATGTACACCAGGTGAGTGATGCAGGAGACTCGACCTGCCGAAGACCGCTCTGTCCCACAGCCTCGCGGATCCTCCTCGCCTTCTCATCTCTCTCCTCCTCACTCTTCTCTTCACTCTCCTCCTCACTCTCCTCCTCTCTCTTCTCCTCTCTCTCCTCCTCCCTCTCCTCCTCCCTGTTCTCCTCGTCTCTCCCCACGCTCTCCATGTTGTTGTCGTGTCCGCGTCCACGGGCAGAGGGCACCGAGGAATCGACTTGATAGAAAACTTAAATCGATTCCGACATTAAGCCAAAGGCGATGTCGAATCAACACGCCAAAAGTCCGAGATTCGATTCCCTGCTTCCGGTCTCGAGCGTGGGCGAATCGCCGCCGGTTGGTTATTGACAGGGTCAGGAATCGATTCCGCAGACGGAGGTAGCGAGCGGCTATGGGAAGCTTTCATCCAGCAGTGGATAGATCGCTGCTACTGCTGACGATGATGTTGTGATACATTGGGATCTTGCTCCTTTCCAAAGTCACTGTTTCACTTAAAAAAAACCTATTAACTATGTATTATTTCACCCTACTTAGCTATGCCGCTGTTTTTCATAAGCTACCTGGCGATCACGAATGAAAGCTCAAGCGAGTGGCTTGCCAAGTTGTCATAATCGTGTGGAGATTGATAGCAGCCAAATACTCTAAACGCGTGATGCTCATTCTAAATGTGGAGGGGGAAAACCGGAGGACCCCAAGAAAAATCCACGCGACCACAGGGAGAGAGAAACGCAAACTCTGAACACAGCAAGGGGTCAGGGTCGGGATCGAATCCATCACCTCCTGCACACCTCGCGAGGTAGTTAACATCTCACCACCGCGGCTTATCGAGGCCGTGAGTTGTTGGGCCAAACTTTAGTTAGATTCCCGCTTACGGCCACAAACACCGCCAGTGACTATTATCTGAATCGGTTCCTGCGCCTCCCCTGGGTCGACTCAGCCTCAATGAGTACCCGGTGCGGTGTGTGGTAAACATCGCCACTGGGGAGACAAAGGCGGCCGGGCGTGGTGCTGGCCACCCACCCCCTCGTGTGCCGTGCCGGCCTTCATAGGTGCTGCTCGCTAACAGCACTTGCCCCTACAGTCTGTTAAGGCTATACGGGGGGGGGGTCTTGGTCATGTTTTAAAGGAGGAAACAAATGTTATGCGTAGACCGCTTCAGACCCCACGTCGCCACTGACGTTCGCCGTGCGAGGGATTCCAACTCGGGCCGCCGTTCTCGAACCTCGGCGGCTTCATTCGCGGCAGCGCCTCTAGCGGTGAGGCGCGGATCGCGATTCTCGGGTCGCGATTCTGGGTTCTCGGGTCGCGTGGACGCGGGGGAATCGTCAGGAGCGCCGTGGGGCGCGTCTCCGAGCGATTACATTCGCAACGCCCCTCCCCCCACGATCACGGCCGACGATTCCCCAATCGCGCTAAGGATCGATTCTCTCAGACGTCGATACCACGCGGAAATCGCGATCGTAGGAATCGACGGTGGGGTGATGGGGGGGTCGTTACGGGTCAAAGGTTACCCTGGGGGGGTGGGGGCTTCGTGAATTTAAAGCCCCAGCGCGCTGCCTGGCAGGGCCAAGAGCAGCCTCACGCAGCGAGCCTGCCACACTCACTCGACCGATACCAATTCACGCAGTTCGTCACGAAGTCGCGGTGACGTCGTCACGGCGGCTGTGCCAGGCTAGGTGCACTTGTGGCCACGTGAGTGTCGAAGGCTCGCTGCCAGCAGGTCACGGGACAGACCCAGCAGGTGCCATGGTTTAAAGTTTTATTTATTAGGTATAGCCCTGTGAGCCATGCGGCTCTTAAGCCGAGTGCAACCGCAACAAACAAAATTTGAACACAGAACATCTTAAAGCGACAACGCGTAACAGAAACATCCTGGGATAAACTAGCAAATCTTCCACAAAAAAACGTATTAAAACGCTGTGTGCAAAAATCAATGTGGTGCAAGCCAACAACAATCATAAGACAATTTAGATTTACCATGTTTTCGAATCACCAAAATAAAGCTATAAAACAATGTAACAACAGTAAACATAGGAACTGTGATTTAAAATTTAACAAACGATATAAATAACACGTACGACAAAAAAAACTGCAGCCATAGCTGGCAGCACGACACTCCCAGTGTATGTGTGAGTGAGTCAGCAGCAGCGTGAGTGAGTGTATGATGTGTGAGTCAGCGCATGATGAGTGAGTCAGTGTATGTGTGAGCGAGTCAGTGTATGATGTGTGAGTGAGTCAGCAGCAGCGTGAGTGTATGATGTGTGAGTCAGCGCATGATGAGTCAGTGTATGATGTGTGAGCGAGTCAGTGTATGATGTGTGAGTGAGTCAGCAGCAGCGTGAGTGTATGATGAGTGAGTCAGTGTATGATCTGTGAGTGAGTGTATGATGTGTGAGTGAGTGTATGATGTGAGTCAGTGTATGATGTGTGAGTGAGTCAGCAGCAGCGTGAGTGTATGATGTGCGAGTGAGCCAGCGGCAGTGTGAGTGTATGATGTGCGAGTCGGTGTATGATGAGTCAGTGTATGATGTGTGAGCGAGTCAGCGGCAGTGTGAGTGTATGATGTGCGAGTGAGCCAGCACACGGTGAGTGAACCTGTGTATGATGAGTGAATGGGCCACTGGTTGTGCAAGTGTATGATGTGTGAGTCAGTGTATGATGTGTGAGTGAGTCAGCAGCAGCGTGAGTGAGTGTATGATGTGCGAGTGAGCCAGCACACGGTGAGTGAACCTGTGTATGATGAGTGAATGGGTCACTGGTTGTGCAAGTGTGTGTGTGTAAGCGCATGATGAGCGAGTCAGTGCATGATGTGAGTGAGTCAGTGTATGTGTGAGTGAGTCAGTGTATGTGTGAGAAAGTCAGTGTATGATGTGAGTCAGTGTATGTGTGAGTGAGTCAGTGTATGATGTGTGAGTCAGTGTATGATGTGTGAGTGAGTCAGTGTATGTGTGAGTGTGCTTATGACTGGCTCCAGTTTAACAGCAGAGGTCTCACTCCGAATCAGTCGAGCGGCAATCTCTTTTCATCGGTTGCGTAACGCTGTGTGGAAGCTACCTGGTCTGTCGCTCCGCACTAAGCTTCAGGTCTTCTCGGCCACGGTCATTCCCTCCCTTCTCTACGCTTGCGAAACGTGGACCCCCCTAATGGAACATCTTCGCCGGTTAGAAACATTTAGGCTGGCCTGCCTACGATCCATCCTGGGTTTAACCAGACTGGATTGTGTGAGGAGCTCACAAATCCTTGAAAGATCTGGGCAGGGTCCCATCGGTGAGCTCCTCCGGCAGGCAAGGCTGCGATGGCTGGGTCATGTAGCCCGCATGCCCAGCCACCGCATGCCGAAACAGCTTTTGTTTGGCCGGATTGAGGGGGCTAAGCGGGCGCGGCACGGGCTAGAGAAGAGATGGAGTGATGTGGTACAGGAGGACGTGGAGCTGAGTGGACTTGCCGATGACTGGTACCAGCGGTGTCAAGATCGGCCTCTGTGGAGGAGGCTCGTGAAGGATGCTACTGGGCAGTTGGAGGCAGTCGCCCTCCAACAACAACGGAGGGCGGAGGAGCGACGCTCACAACAGCGAGCGGAGCGCCGGGTGGCTAAAGCACAGCAGGTTGGCACAGTAGGGGGCACAGGTGGTGCATCAGCCAGTCATCTCAGTCAGTCGACCCGTGGCACCTGGGTCTGCCCCGTGACCTCCTGCCAGCGGGCGTTCGACACTTCACGTGGCCTCAGGGTGCACATAGCCTGGCACAAGCGTCGTGGTGACGTCACCGCCACTTAGTGGCGAATGGCGGTTGTTGTTGTTGTTGTGTGAGTGAGTCAGTGTATGACGTGTGAGAAAGTCAGTGTCGCCCCCCCCCAGCTCCGTCGGCCCCCCCGGCTCCGTCGGCCCCCTCGGCTCCATCGGCTCCCTCGGCCCCCTCACAAAGGGCCCCCTCACAAAGGGCCCCCTCACAAAGAGCCCCCTCACAATCGGCCCCCTCACAAAGGGCCCCCTCACAAAGAGCCCCCTCACAAAGGGCCCCCTCACAATCGGCCCCCTCACAAAGGGCCCCCTCACAAAGAGCCCCCTCACAAAGGCCCCCCCTCACAATCGGCCCCCTCACAAAGAGCCCCCTCACAAACGGCCCCCTCACAAAGGGCCCCCTCACAATCGGCCCCCTCACAAACGGCCCCCTCACAAAGGGCCCCCTCACAAAGGGCCCCCTCACAATCGGCCCCCTCACAAACGGCCCCCTCACAAAGGGCCCCCTCACAATCGGCCCCCTCACAAACGGCCCCCTCACAAAGGGCCCCCTCACAAACGGCCCCCTCACAATCGGCCCCCTCACAAACGGCCCCCTCACAAAGGGCCCCCTCACAAAGGGCCCCCTCACAATCGGCCCCCTCACAAAGGGCCCCCTCACAAAGGGCCCCCTCACAAAGGACCCCCTCACAAACGGCCCCCTCACAAAGGGCCCCCTCACAAAGGACCCCCTCACAAAGGGCCCCGCCAGCCGCTGCTGGGAGCGCGCGCGCCTCAGGCGGCCATCTTGCTCTACAACGCTCCTTGCCGCCGACTCGAGTCCCGATCCCCTTCTGGGACCGCGGGGCTTCCTCCGCCCCTAGCCACGCCTCCCTTCTCGAGCCTTCCAGAGGGACCTGGTTCTGGTCCCGTGGTCCCCCTCCTTGGGCCCCGCGGCCGGTACCTCCGGTCAACAGGCCTCCCGGGTTCACCTGAAGTACCATAGTTTGACTGGCTGAGATGACTGGCAAGTTGCCACCAGCTGTGCCCCCGACTGTTCCAGCTGAGACTGATAATTAGCACAAACACCCACTCAAAACTCGCATAAATACCCATAAACTCAAGATTTTCAAAGATTGAGACTCTGCATTGCATAGATTTTTGGCAAACTTGTCCTTTTCTTGCGTGTTTTGTGAAAGAGTAACCCAATTCTATCGAAACACCATCCAGGCCCCAAACGTGCCAGGCTTCAGACATGGTGAAATTAAGTGCATTGCAATTCACTCGGCCATGCGTTGGGGCAGCATATCCTTGCCTTCACCTCGCGATGTGCGAATACTAAGTCCGAGATCCCCCACGACCCAAACAACAAGGGCAGGCTCTAATCTAGCAGTGGATAGGCAAAGGGATGTACACGTCCTCCCTAAAATCCCTGTAAAATGCTTGTTGGGAGTTTTCTACAAAAGGATTCAGTGAGCAACTGTTGGGGGCTTGAAGAGATGAGGCAAACTCTGGTTATGGATTGCTTATTTTCACCATCCATTTTTGGTGTTTGATGCATTTTACTAGCTCTTGAAAATAAGAGTTGTGAAAAGCAAACCAGAACCCTCAAGAAAACAACGGAATGTGGTTTCCCGGATGTGGCGATCTGCAGTGAGAAGCCAGTTCTCGCTGCATTGTACAGGATGTCCTCAGGCAAGTTAGAACTGCCCTCCATAGGCCCTGACAATAAAATACTTTATAACGCACACAATCTTTCAAAGACATGGCCGTGACGATTCGACAATCATTCATCCACAAGGATGGTATATGTACAATCGATATAAAACGTGGGGGTTGTTCAATTAAACATCGTCACGCTGGTCATGTACGTTTCTGCACTTCCCCAAAGAACCTCCTGCTCCGCTCCTACACCTCGCATTCTGCATGGCGAACGCCCCGAGGACGGGAGAGGCTCAAGCACGGCTTGCCTTCCAAAATCTGACTAACATCGGTGCATTCCGTGGCAGCTTGTCATTGGCCATCTGCAGTATATCGACTAATGGAATGGCAGCATCTGTTATAACCTCACAGTGTGCTGAGCAGGTCAGAATAACATCAGTCAAATGGATTCAGAAAATGGGCAGCAAATACAAGTGGGAGAATGATGCCAGCTATTAAAACCCATGCAATTGCTACATGTGAAGGATTCATGAAGGGCACACTTAAATTCCAGATTTTTCTCAGTCCGGCAAGGTCGAGTGGCAATATAAACTGCGTGTGATTACTTTCCAACAATGTCACAATGCACACGATTATGGATGTGCAGTTTATAAATGAGGAAAAATAAACACCACTATGTTGTACATTTTATTTGAAGCATGAGTACACTAAAGTATGGAATGACAAGCAGTATTGTTCAGAATACATAATCTCAGTAAACCACTATCACCAGCAGCTCGGAGCATACACGAAGCATGCACAGCTGCTGGTGACAACCCAAGAGCATTGCAAATAAAAAAATACTCGTGATGCAAATAAAAAAAAGGACAAATGTCTAAAATGAAAGGAATGTTTTAAATTTGTGATGCACACATTACAGTGGACCGTTGGAACCGGAGGCATAACCCCCAACTTCCTCAATTTTACTAATGGATAAACACATCGCATCTCTCACTTCCTGCCTTTTACAAAACACAACCCTTCCTGCCCTCGTTTGGTCTATCGTCATCCCTGCTGCCATGCCTTTTGCTGGTAAGCACTGATACTGCAAATAATCAAACCGAAAAACAACCTCCCCCACACCGTGGACCTGGGGGTTACAATAAGCGTGTCAACTGCTTATCGAAGGGGGCGTGATGATACACTGCGCTCTGAGAAATCGTGGAATAGAAAAAGGGGACGTGGGTGGCGGAATAACTCTGGATGGGCGCAGAGCGCTGCTGGGCTACTGGTCGTCCTTGTCCTTGGCTCCATGCTTGAGGATCCTCGTGAACTCCACGTAGTTGAAGTTGCCCTTCTTGTCGATGGGCGCCTCGCGGTACAGCTCATCGACCTCTTCCTCCGTGAAGCGATCGCCCATTGTGGTGAGCAGCTCGCGCAGGTAGTCCTCGCTGATGATGCCTGCGCGCACACCGCAACGCATGCCGGGTCATTCAATCGTGCTCATCGTAACATTCATTCATCAATTAATCTATAGCCCTTTCTGTCAAACCACTGTCCGGAATTTCAGAAATATCCCCGTGTGTGCGTGGATTGTTTCAGGTACTCGTGATTCCACCTAGAGTTAAAGCTCTCAAACTTTGGCTCAACTATTGGTTGGAGGTCTCCCTACGCCATGTCGATCTACAGGGATTGGTTGACCATACTTCACCACGCTCGTCAGTGCGGATCGGTCAAGGGTGAAGCTCAGAACCGGTTTCTGATACCATTCATTGCAAATATTAGCCAGTGCAGGTAAACAAACTCAGGTTGCTGGGTTCAATGAAGTGGTCTATCCAATGCATCACCACTACTCTATCCCCATCTTACAATAACTTGATAAATAACTCAATAAATCTTGTTGATTATCCTTAATATAATTAATATATGGGTGAGGGGTACCACGGTTGGGGGGGTAGCATGGTGAAGAATAGCACGGTAGCCTATATTACATACATAGTGGTTACTGCATTGCACAAAAACCATGGCATCCCAAATATCAGCTACGGCTAGCATCAGTGGCGAGTGATTATCTGAAAGGATACAGGGGGCTCCCTTTTCACCATTCCACGCTCATCAGGCCTTCATCCAGCTGTGCTTCGCAAACCGGTATGCAGCATAACACCAACATGTCTAGACAAAGTCCCGGGTGTACTGCCATGGTATTAAACTAAAAACTTAACATTCTACCAGGTAAAGCCCACTCAACTATACAACTCTTTTTCAGAAGTGACCTGGCCACACATGCTTGCTCAACAAAGTAGCTTAGCATGTGGAAATGCATAGCAGCCAAATTCCTCTAAAAGCATATTGATTCTAAATGTGGAGGGAAAAGCCGGAGGGCCCGAGGAAAAATCCACACAACCGCGGGGAGAGACATGCGAATGCCAAATATAAAGCAGGCGTCGTCAGGGTCGAGATCGAACCCGTGTCCTCCTGTATACCAGGTGAGGTAGTTAACATCTCGCCACCGTGGCACCAACTTTTTCCATATTGTAGGACATGCGCAAGCTGGGGACAGACGAAATCTGTGCCATTCGGTAGCCGATCCCAGCCCTCATCTCCCACACCTCCCACCCTCCCCCCATGAGTCACGCATACAGCTGGGTAAACGGTGTGCCATCAGGTATAAGCCAACTATAAGTGTCCAGTGGAAGGAATGTATGTAGTATGTTTAACTTATTTCACACCGTATGTAGCCATCCATGCTAATCGCAATGAAAAGGTTGAAAAGCACTGCAAGTAGTGGATTGACACAAGGCTCTAAATTAATCAATATTCATAACATTAGGCTACCTCATGAATTCAAGACAGTGGTAGACAATTTGATCTTTCGCAAGCAACGTGTACACATGGTTTAAATAAACACAATTCTGAAAGCAGCAATTTGTGTTAATTACACGAGCTAATATTCTCTCATGCGGCCAAGAATGCACATGAACTGGATAAACTGGCACTGCAACTCTTAGAGTCAGAGCAGCACAGTGGAGGGCTGGGGCTAGTTAACAAAGCCGAGCGCTTGCATGCATACATACACAAACACCACTACTACTGTGCTTGGGCTAAAGATCTCAGCGTCAACCACCCAACTTTTCCCGTTTTGCCCACGGACCTCACATGGGACAAGCGCACACCGAGAACATCTTCATGCTCATAATAGAGGTTTTTGGGTTAGATTGCGTAAATATAAATGTGTTGTTAAACCCGCCACCACCAGATACAGCCAATTATTAAGGTTTAAGACCGAAAACAGGAGGAGGATTTCTCCACAATTCTGGCTGTCGCCTGATGATGCTGGTTGTTGTAATTACCAGCGAAACGTCTCAGTACTCGAATTGTAAATGTTGTAGTGGGTTTACTCTCCAACACACCGGTGTGCTGAACTAGTAACTAAAATTGACATGTTTTGTTTATGTAACAACCTTTACTAATTGGCCGTGTCGGGTGGTGGCGGGTTTAACACCACATTTATATTAACACGATCTAACCCCAAAACCTCTATTATGGATAATATTCGTCGCTAAAGCCTACTTTTTACACAGATCTTCATTATTGCACAATGCACTCGTGTCATTCCAAATTCTTGGATTTTCACCGATTTAGAGGAACACACTAAGGGCTCGACGCGTAATTTTAACTGTTAAGAAACGCAAGTGGCCATGGGAACGATGTGTTGGTTGAAGAGGTGATGGTCGATGGTTAATAATTTATGAACGAGTGGCAGCCAGGGAATGGAACAAGCCCGAGAGAGTGCATCCACCGGGGAGACGGAGTGAATAAATCAGCGGTGTACAGAAGCGAGGTGGATTATGATATCATGGCGTTGGCTTGGGGAAACCTACACCCAGCAGCGGGCATTGATCATATGATGACGTACGACAAACACACACGGGATAATGGGGAAATAGGGGTAAAGGCTGGGGACCTGTGCCCTCCTCGTCAAAGCAGGCGAAGGCGTTGCGAATGACATCCTCGGGGTCAGTGCCGTTGAGCTTCTCCCCGAACATGGTGAGGAACATGGTGAAGTTGATGGGACCTGGAGCCTCAGTCATCATCGCCTCCAAGTAATCGTCCGTCGGGTTCTTGCCTGGATACACACGTCACGAACCGTATGTGAAGCCAACTTGCATAGGAACTCGTAAACCAGGGAAAATGGAACTTTCCCTTCATTGAGACAAATAGGAACATACAATAGCTTTGCGGGTCACACATTTTATGGGCGCAGTCGCTTAAACTATTTAATTGCTTTTAACGCCTTCCAACTAAGGTTGAAAGTGCTTATGCAACAGCTCCATCCATCTGTCTGCCCGTAAGGGGGAGGGGGCAATGGGTACAATAATTTGCTTAAAGATGGCTTGAAAATAATTTCATTTTTGCCTGTCAAATGTTGCTGTTAGGGACTTACTCTATTCAAATTGACCACCTGTGAATACTAGGCAGACCCAAACCTGCGTAAAAGGACCTGCCTTGGTCTCCCGATTTAAATAGGAGGCAACATTAACCCTGGCCCTGCTCGCTGAGGTGTGCCCTGCCAGGCAGAGTTTGTACTCGAGCCCCGTGGTCTCGTACTGCTTCCTGCGTGCCTGGCATGAGCATTACCATTATTATCGCTGATTAAACACTTCGGAGGACATACGCATATTGAAATGTTATACAATCCTAGCAAATGCATTATTTGCTCTATGTCTGGCACATCTCCCATAAAGACACAAAATAAGGGACGCTAGATCATGTTACGTGACCGAATCACAATTTACCACTGCCTGTGCTTTCATTACATTTCAAAACAAAATGGATTTAGATGTGTCACACTATCACCAGAAAGCAAGACACCCAGAGTAAATATCACCAACGGACAGGGACAGGAAAATTTTCCCATTCTATCACCACGGTTACATACATCATATAGTCTGGCATCGTAAAGTTGGCGGGTAAAGGGTGCCACACAGGGAGCGCTTAAGTTACCGGTCGTGTGAAAACAGTGCGGGGGGGGGGGGGGGTACGGGCAGGTGGATGCAGTCAGCGAGTTGCGATCGAGTGGTGGCAAGTACCCATGGATGCCAGCATGTCGTGCAGATCCTCCTTGTCAATGAAGCCGTCCCGATTTTGGTCGATCATGTTGAACGCCTCCTTGAACTCCTGGATCTGGGACTGGTCGAACATGGCGAACACATTGGAAGTGGCACGCTGTGGCCGCTTCTTGGTGGTGGTCTTCCCCTTGGTTTTGCGGCTCGACATGGTGGCGGTTGTTCCTTAACTGAAACCAAACCAACCACAAGCGTCGCTCCAATCAAGACAACATCGCTACTGCCCGAAGATAACATGTGCACACAGGAACTCATATACATAATTAAATATTGTGGACTAAAATAATCACTCAAAAAACAAAGCTCTGCATTTGGTGTGGACTGAGACCAGTTAGAGCCTCGATGAACATCACAGAATAGCCCAAAGTTCGCGACACTGCGGAACCGACATCACGGTACAGAACACGCCAGTACCCACACACCACCAATCCATCGAGTTATACAAATGCCACCAAAAAGCATTTGTGGCGGCATGCAATAGTTAGGCATCCTGGTTACCGTACTCCGCTACCTCTGTGCAGCCTCCGCTCTGCTATTTTCCCAGCTATTATATCCGATCTATTCATGCAACACAAATGCTGACATTTATAGGCAGCGCAGATTTTCTCACAACTAGTCCCACATTCTTCTACAAAGTATAAACCAGTACACGTGCAAAGTTAAAAGATCGAGAAGCTGCCAGGCTTTTCGAGAACCGCCCCAACACTCACTCGAGCGTAAGGTGGAAAATGTTCAGTGACACAACCGCACAAGGGCGGGTTGCTTTTCACGAGCGTAGAGGGGACTGCAACAATGCCATACATGGGGAATGCACACGCACTTGGGAAGCACAGGAATGCACACTGTTAACTCTCAATTATCTGGAGGGTAGAGGGGTGGCCCGGAGAGAAAAAAAAATACTGATAATGTAAAACACATGAAAAATAATTATATGCAAATTCATGCATCGATTAACTACATTTTTAAAGGGGGTGAATATTTATAGGATGTAGCTAACGTCTGATTTCAGCTTTAATATATTTTTTAGATAAATTAGTTTACTGACATTTTTGTGGTCACCGCTGAGTCATGTTCCCCCAATTAGTGAGGAGCAGCTGATAATTAAGTCGGCAAAGGGTGAAGACACGTCAGTTCGTTTATCCCAAGCGAAACTTAATCCGCAAGCCAGATAATTGAGTTAGCTGCATATGAAACAGAATTGCAAGTCTAAAATGTGTTGACTTCACGTGGCATCGGTAAACAAGTTGACCAACTCGGCCGTTTTCCATATGGAGTTAAGGTGCCATGACCACAAGCACAATTTGCCAGGTGTGCTTTTAATCTAGCCACCAAAACGTGAACCATCAACACAGAGGTAATTAACACTATTTCAAGTCACTGAGCTTTCAGCCGTAACACCAATGCTTGTCTAATGCATTGATACAGAAAATCTGTCAATTGTAGGGTGATACAATGCACAAAGAAAGATCAATGTTCAGATACAGACTGTTCACGAGCGGTAACTTAACTAGTAAACCTAGTAAACTTGAGTTTACTAGGTTTGTTTTTTCTCATTCATCGTACCTGATGATTGCTTGTGTTGCAATCGAAACGTCGTATTCTATAATTTAATTTATTTTCTTTCTACGTGACTTTACCGAAAAAAACAAAAATTCCTGCAGTCACGAAAGCTCCAAATCTGATTTACATTAATATCATCAGCCATATGTCTATCCACGGCTTGATGAAGGCCTCGCCAATCCATCTCCATTTCTAATAACCTTGCAGTGCAACAATCCATCAAGATTCTGCACACATGCCGGTTTTCTTCTGGACGTCCGTCAGGCATGTTGCCCGCCTCTGGCCTGCCACTGTCGTTAGTGTCAACCACTGGTGACCCTCCCTCCCTGCCAGCAACGAGTACTGCCCAACCTCACTGACCTTTCTTCACGAGGTGTAGCTTGCATACATTGTCCCATGAATGTGTTACCCTTCCCGTGTCTCTCTCTAATTCTAAGCACGCTTTATTTGCCTCTCGATATTTATTTGCATACAAGTGTCAGCTTGTTCTGTTACCTTTGCCAATGTCCACGTTTCACATGCATGTCATAGCAGGTGTTTATACACCTAATGTTAAGAGGTAGCGTAGCGGTTATCAAGCTGCACGACGAAGCCAGCGATTAGAGTTCGATTTCCGCTCACGACCAATAAGTGGCGAATATTTGAACCGGTCCTGGGCCTCCCCTTTGGTCGACGGAGCCTAAAACGAGTATCTGGTGCAATGAGTAAACATAGCCTCGAGGGAGACAAAGGCGGCCGGGCGTGGTGCTGCTGTCCACCCACCCCCTCGTGTGCCGTTCCGGCCTTAAGGAGGTGGTACTCGCTAACAGCACTTTTCCCCAACAGACTGTTAAAGGGTATATTGGGGATATTAATCTTTAAACACCTAAAGTTTAGTTTTACAAAAGGCACTTTACAAAAAGCACTGTGCTCTTGCCCGCCTTTACGTTGAATCAGTTGTGTCCCAGTTCACCGTCAACTACTGCCCTGTTTTTTTTGTTTATCTCACTTGAACCTTGAGCCCCACTTTGCAGCCTTCTTCATTAGGTTCGTCTATGTGTCTGCAGTTAATTCCCCATTGGTTGTTATTACGACTGTCATCAGCAAATCGGATATGGCGGATAATCTGACGGTTAAAAATACACTTTATTTTTACAATCCAGTTATTTTAAAGTAAAAACTAAGTCACCATAAATTTAGCGTAAAATTGCAACTCCTTGTCAGATGCACCTTCTCATGCTCTTAATATTGTGCTACTGTATGCAATTTCAGCGTAAATGTTTCATCTTTATAAATGGGTTGCAAAGGCTACACGTTAAAATAAGGCATTGGTTTGTCCAGGAAGTGCACCGTTAAGAAGCTGTGTCATCACCATTTGCAAAAGGCAGCATTGCTTAAACACCAAAGACCACATGTGGTTGGTGGCTTATACGAACTCAAGAAACTGTGCAAGCTTACACATTGAGAAATTTAAAAAACCTGTCTGTACACAACCAAGTCGAATGCTACGTTTTCAGCTCTCTCCGTTAAGTTTCTTAACAGGAAATGTGACGTCATGTATACAATCGGACAGTGAACTCTGCCACAAGCACCATCTTTGTACGGCCTAGACACCCGGCAAAGAAGATCCAAATAAGGCGCACACGAGAAACCCCCCTATTAGGCAGTCGTGACTCCGGGTCGCCAGTGCCGTGCCTCCACTGCTGGATGGCTGTGTAAAGACAGCGAGACGTGTCTCCACTGCTGGATGGCTGTGTAAGGACAGCGAGAAGTGTCTCCACTGCTGGATGGCTGTAAGGACAGTGAGCCGTGTTTCTACTGCTGGATGGCTGTAAGGACAGCGAGCCGTGTCTCCACTGCTGGATGGCTGTAAGGACAGCGAGCCGTGTCTCCACTGCTGGACAGCTGTGTAAGGACAGTGAGCCGTGTCTCCACTGCTGGATGGCTGTGTAAGGACAGTGAGCCGTGTCTCTACTGCTGGATGGCTGTGTAAGGACAGTGAGCCGTGTCTCTACTGCTGGATGGCTGTGTAAGGACAGTGAGCAGTGTCTCCACTGCTGGACAGCTGTGTAAGGACAGTGAGCCGTGTCTCCACTGCTGGATGGCTGTGTAAGGACAGTGAGCCGTGTCTCTACTGCTGGACAGCTGTGTAAGGACAGTGAGACAGCTGTGTAAGGACCGTGAGCAGTGTCTCTAATGCTGAATGGCTGTGTAAGGGCAGTGAGCCGTGTCTCTACTGCTGGATGGCTGTGTAAGGACAGTGAGACGTGTCTCAACTGCTGGATGGCTGTGTAAGGACAGTGAGCCGTGTCTCTACTGCTGGATGGCTGTGTAAGGACAGCGAGCCGTGTCTCCACTGCTGGATGGCTGTGTAAGGACAGTGAGCCGTGTCTCTACTGCTGGATGGCTGTAAGGACAGTGAGCCGTGTCTCCACTGCTGGATGGTTGTGTAAGGACAGTGAGCCGTGTCTCTACTGCTGGATGGCTGTAAGGACAGTGAGCCGTGTCTCCACTGCTGGATGGTTGTGTAAGGACAGTGAGACGTGTCTCTACTGCTGGATGGCTGTAAGGACAGTGAGCCGTCTCTCCACTGCTGGATGGTTGTGTAAGGACAGTGAGCCGTGTCTCTACTGCTGGATGGCTGTAAGGACAGTGAGCCGTGTCTCTACTGCTGGATGGCTGTAAGGACAGTGAGACGTGTCTCTACTGCTGGATGGCTGTGTAAGGACAGCGAGCCGTGTCTCCACTGCTGGATGGCTGTGTAAGGACAGTGAGCCGTGTCTCTACTGCTGGATGGCTGTAAGGACAGTGAGCCGTGTCTCTACTGCTGGATGGCTGTAAGGACAGTGAGCCGTGTCTCCACTGCTGGATGGTTGTGTAAGGACAGTGAGCCGTGTATCTACTGCTGGATGGCTGTAAGGACAGTGAGCCGTGTCTCTACTGCTGGATGGCTGTAAGGACAGTGAGCCGTGTCTCCACTGCTGGATGGTTGTGTAAGGACAGTGAGCCGTGTCTCTAATGCTGGATGGCTGTGTAAGGACAGTGAGCCGTGTCTCTACTGCTGGATGGCTGTGTAAGGACAGCGAGCCGTGTCTCCACTGCTGGATGGCTGTGTAAGGACAGTGAGCCGTGTCTCTACTGCTGGATGGCTGTGTAAGGACAGTGAGCCGTGTCTCTACTGCTGGATGGCTGTGTATAAGGAAGGTGCTGCCACGCCCCGAGAGATGACGCAACCGCGCTCAGGAATCCCTCCCTGCGCGGCTCCGTGACCATATAAGGTGCGGCGGAGAGCGCCGCGGAACCTACGCCGGGCGGGCAGAGGTCGCTACCCCCCACCCACCCCTCGCCACGGACGCGCCCAACCAACGGAGCTCCGCGTTTAACCATTTCCAGAGAGGGAGGGGAACCCAGAAAACCACCCGTTTGACTTAGACTAGAATAAATACTCGGCAGGGTTTGTCAATAACACTGCCCCTAGAAGGAAACGATTTATAAAAAGGCGACATTTCGGGCAATGCCCCCTTTTTCACGCATTGGAGAGGACAAACTCTGCGTTTTGAGTGAATCATAAATACTGCAGTTAGTTGGGAGACTGCGCTATGCAGCATGGGGGTCCCCTGGTACAAATTACATTTCAAATCTTGACGGAAGGTTTTTTTTGGGAAGGACCGCCCTTTTATTTGTTAAGTATTGTCTCTTTAGTGGGGGGTGGTTGCAACTGGTGTCACCCGAGTTCGATTCCCGATCACAGCTCACGTCAGTGGCAAATTACTCTTGTCCTGGACTACCCCCCCCCACCTTTCACCAACCCACACTGACCAGCGTCAAGTATCGCCAAACAACCTTCACAAACTCCACGGTGTGAGAAGGCCTTTATCCAGCAGCGACGTGATACCGGGGTGTACATTAATTTGATGCATCATCATCAGCGGGAATTATCAATCCACTGCTGGATAAAGTATCAATCCACTGCTGGATAAAGGTATCCACAAGCCATCTTCTATCTCTGACGGGCCTAGCCCTGTGATGTAAACACATTCCGATGTCCTGCAACAAAAGGCGACGTCATCGCTTCGTCTGTGCAGCGGTCGTCCACCTTTCCCTCCCTCGGTAACGTCTCCATCATGAATCTTCTCGCCAGCCACGTATCCCTCCTGCTCGAGCATACTCCTCGCCTCTCCTAAGTCATCGCTTGTTTGGTTGTATTGCGTACGTGGTGGGCTAAGCCGATCACAACCAAATCATCCGGAATGTGCCCAATAGCGCAATCAAAATCAGGAAGGGGCCTGGACAGTGTCGACTGGGGGGCCACCGTCCACAAAGCAGGTGACACAGGCAGCTCCTGCGTCTATAAGGATTCTGGTTCTATGTTCCGATGCCCACCGCCAGCCCATAGGAATCAGCGGGAAGTACTGTACGGTATTATCAACTTATCCCGCGGGGCGTGGACTTGTGAAATTATTTTTTTCGCATTTTCGCACTATTTTGATACTCTAAAGTACAACTCGGTAAGACGCTGTGGAAACTGAAGACACCATGAACACCAAGTATTAAATAGGGCACGGCACGAGGGAGCTTATTAATTTGCATTTGTTCTGAGGCGCACCACGTTAAGCACGTTCTATTGTACACGTACAATATACACTTATCAAACGACTGATGGCCTTCCCGAGCCGTTTCGGGTCGTGTTTGACCATACTTCACCGCACGAGACACGACGGTGAGCATACGCCGTAGAGGGCGCATTGCAATGCAGTTCAACCGCCCACGATCAATAACAAACCTATTACGCATGGCAGTCACCCGCCCTTTTAATATGAACTATCCAGGCCCAGCCCTGCCTCGGATATCTCAAGAGAAGTCGGCCACATTCTGGATATGAACTCGGGATGGAACTTGAACTACCAACTCGAGCACCGCGCTAATGGCATTGGCATCGACAAAAACGAGCGTGAGGCTGAGTCAATGGTGGCAATTCCCCATTCATAAGACGGGACAGTACGGTGTATATACATTTTACGACCACAGTGGTACCACGTTAACCGATAAGCCGTGTTGGGGTCTCCGTGGATCGGATCGTGAGCATGGCGATCGGGAAATCAGAGCGAGACACAAGACACAAGGAGCTCGTGAAACAGAGACAACACGGACGCTTAACACACGGAGTCGCGAACATCTAGATAAAGGAACACGCGGGCACTAATGCAGACACCTCCGCTTAGCGCGGTTGGCTACGTACGGTGCGAAAGAAGTTCAACATATCAGCCTCTCCCCTTCCTCAAGTCGAGAGTGCCGTCTCATACCTCACCTTTCTTCTCACCTCTCCCCTCACCTCTCTGCTCCCCTCACCTCTTCCCTCACCTCTCTGCTCTAGCTCTCTCTCACCTCCCCAGGCACCGTCTCCGGTCCCGCGCGGCCGGACCGCGCCCATGGCCCGCGCGTCACTGCCGGAGCCTCACGGGTCCCCCGCGAAACCTCGCCGCGCTCTCCTCGCGCCCGCCCGCCCGCGCGCTCTCTCTCACCGACGGGACGAGACGACGATACCGCGGGCTGCCGCGCTGAGACGTGGGGGGTGGTGCGATGAGAAGGAGGCGAGTGGCGAGGCGGGGAGCGTGAGGGGAGTTATGGAGGAGCCGTCGTTGCTCGCTAAGGGAACTCTACACAAGCGGAAGTGACGTCACCAATTGGTGACACCGCCTCGCGAGATGACGCGATACGTTACCGCAAAAATGACGCAGCGACGTCACCGCGCAGACGTGCCGCGTGACGTCGCCGCGCAGACGTGACGCGTGACGTCGCCGCGCAGACGTGACGCGTGACGTCCCCGCGCAGACGTGACGCGTGACGTCGCCGCGCAGACGTGACGCGTGACGTCCCCGCGCAGACTTGACGCGCGACGTCGCCGCGCAGACGTGACGCGCGACGTCCCCGCGCAGACGTGACGCGTGACGTCGCCGCGCAGACGTGACGCGTGACGTCCCCGCGCAGACGTGACGCGTGACGTCGCCGCGCAGACGTGACGCGTCACGTCGCCGGCCAAACGTGACGCGTGACGTCACCGCGCAGACGTGACGCGTGTCGTCGCCGGCCAGACGTGACGCGTGACGTCGCCGCGGAGAGGCCACGTACGGGGCCGTCGAGGGACGAGCAGCGTCACCTCCAGGTCGCGGGAGCGACAACGATCAGAGTGGCTGGAGCAGCGGTGGCTCTGACATGGCCTTTACACTGCAGCCTTGCCGTGAGAACCCTTTGGTTCTCAATCGTAAAAAAAATGTTAATAACTACATAGGGTTTGCCAGTGCTACATTTGTGCTTCGATTTACAGTGAGGGAAAAAAGTATTTGATCCCCTGCTGATTTTGTACGTTTGCTCACTGACAAAGAAAAGATCAGTCTATAATTTTAATGGTAGGTTTATTTGAACAGTGAGAGACAGAATAACAACAACAAAATCCAGAAAAACGCATGTCAAAAATGTTATAAATTGATTTGCATTTTAATGAGGGAAATAAGTATTTGACCCCTCTGCAAAACATGCCTTAGTACTTGGTGGCAAAACCCTTGAGTGCAATCACAGAGGTCAGACGTTTCTTGTAGTTGGCCACCAGGTTTGCACACATCTCAGGAGGGATTTTGTCCCACTCCTCTTTGCAGATCTTCTCCAAGTCATTAAGGTTTCGAGGCTGACGTTTGGCAACTCGAACCTTCAGCTCCCTCCACAGATTTTCTATGGGATTAAGGTCTGGAGACTGGCTAGGCCACTCCAGGACCTTAATGTGCTTCCTCTTGAGCCACTCCTTTGTTGCCTTGGCCGTGTGTTTTGGGTCATTGTCATGCTGGAATACCCATCCACGACCCATTTTCAATGCCCTGGCTGAGGGAAAGAGGTTCTCACCCAAGATTTGACGGTACATGGCCCCGTCCATCATCCATTTGATGCGGTGAAGTTGTCCTGTCCCCTTAGCAGAAACACACCCCCAAAGCATAATGTTTCCACCTCCATGTTTGACGGTGGGGATGGTGTTCTTCGGGGTCATAGCCAGCATTCCTCCTGCTCCAAACACGGCGAGTTGAGTTGATGCCAAAGAGCTCCATTTTGGTCTCATCTGACCACAACACTTTCACCCAGTTGTCCTCTGAATCATTCAGATGTTCATTGGCAAACTTAAGACGGGCATATATATGTGCTTTCTTGAGCAGGGGGACCTTGCGGGCGCTGCAGGATTTCAGTCCTTCACGGCGTAGTGTTACCAATTTTTTCTTGGTGACTATGGTCCCAGCTGCCTTGAGATCATTGACAAGATCCTCCCGTGTAGTTCTGGGCTGATTCCTCACCGTTCTCATGATTATTGCAACTCCACGAGGTAAGATCTTGCATGGAGCCCCAGGCCGAGGGAGATTGACAGTTCTTTTGTGTTTCTTCCATTTGAGAATAATCGCACCAACTGTTGTCACCTTCTCACCACGCTGCTTGGCAATAGTCTTGTAGCCAATTCCAGCCCTGTGTAGGTCTACAAACTTGTCCCAGACATCCTTGGAGAGCTCTTTGGTCTTGGCGGAAAGTTTAGAATCTGATTGATTGATTGCTTCTGTGGACAGGTGTCTTTTATACAGGTAACAAGCTGAGATTAGGAGCACTCCCTTTAAGAGTGTGCTCCTCATCTCAGCTCGTTACCTGTATAAAAGACACCTGGGAGCCAGAAATCTTTCTGCTTGAGAGGGGGTCAAATACTTATTTCCCTCATTAAAATGCAAATCAATTTATAACATTTTTGACATGCGTTTTTCTGGATTTTGGTGTTGTTATTCTGTCTCTCACTATTCAAATAAACCTACCATTAAAATTATACTGATCATTTCTTTGTCAGTGGGCAAACGTACAAAATCAGCAGGGGATCAAATACTTTTTTCCCTCACTGTACCTTATAAACAGATCTGGCCCATGACTCGCACCCCCAGAAAGGGCATCATGCACCCCCTGGTTAAGATGCAAAACATTTCCACATACATTTTCACATTATAAGCTACTTCGTTGAGCTATAATGTGGCCAGATTGCTTGTGAAAGATATGCTAATAGCTCAGTGGGCTTCAGCTGGTAATAATGAATTTCGTTTATTTATTGATTCGCTTATATTTCCTGTACGTTGTACTCGTATTGTGCTTTCGTATTGTACATTTCTGGCCTGCACCTATGGGACATGAAAAGCGCTGTATAGCTTCATCGGATTCTTCCACTATGATTAAAGATTCTGATTCTGTTTAACTTTGTTTTCCTTTTGAAAATATTACTGGGGGCTTCACAGTACCTGTAGCCCAGGGGCCTACACAATCTTAAAACGGCCCAGGGTATAGGGAGGGCAGGCCCAGGGTATAGGGAGGGCAGGCCTGGTGTGTCGGGAGGGCAGGCCTGGTGTGTCGGGAGGACTGTCCCCCCCTCCACACCCCATGAAGCTTTGGTGAAAATCTGGATTTTGTCACAAATTTGAGACAATCAGACACACCCATCACCACAATCACACAGTAATAAAATAAATTTAAACACTTTATTTTTCCAAAGTGCACAAGATAACACGTTTTACCTGTTAATAAGACAAAATATAGTTAGTACCAATGACTTAACAAAAATAGCAATTATCCATCACGATTACAGTAATGTATGTTTAATGCACAAAGTGTGTATAAGAATTCAGTGTTGAGATGTTTTGATGAAGCGGTCTCTGCACACACTGCAGATCGACGGCATTCGCAAAGGATTCAAGTAACATTAAAGAACCGGAGCTAAAACAAGCCAGAGATCCAATAGAGTCTTTATTCCGAGGTCTGTGGGCCCGATTCATGATTCGTGAGGTTTTTGGCTGTCGCTGTGTCCCGTTTTGAGTGAAAGGCGGCCGATTCTACAGGGATATCGTCGTTTTTGGCTGTCACCGTGTCTCGTTTTGAGTGAAAGGCGGCCGATTCTACGGGGATATCGTCCCCACTCCTCCGTTTGCAATGCACGAGCGGCCGATTTTTCCCTTAGGACACGTGTGTTCTGCCACCTCATTCTGCACCGGAGTCCAGCAATGGCACAAACTTGGTATAGTGTTTGAAAATTAATTTCTTGAGAACTGTGTTTAGTTTGTCATTCCCCCACACCTCCGATTAGCACGGTTCGCTACATATGGTGCGAAAGAAGTTCAACATACACACACATAGTTTTATTTAGTTCTTAAGAAACAGCCCTTACCTAACAACATTTGTTGTTTATTTTCTCTCAACACACCTGAGTGCTGAAGTAGTTACGAATTGGCACGTTCTGGTAACGTGACAACCCTTACTAACTGGCTGTCTGGTGGAGGTGGGTGCACATCACATTTACGCGATCTATCATGAACAAAATTGGTCCATAGGGCCTACGTGTTAAACATGTCAGTTCACAAGTTTAAGAAAGCCTGACTGCTGACGAGACACTGAACGTTGAAACCGACTGAGTTTGAAATCAAACCAATGCTGTTGAAATTCAGCACTTCCAGAAGGCTGCACGGCTGATGGGACGTGTAAATAAAACACTTTTTTTATGTGGAAGAACATACGTGAAAGGAGGTTACTTATATACGACGTGAATGGTCAACGTTGAGTGCGTGACTTGTGCACTCCGTCTCCCTGGTGGTGCGTGAGCACCGTCGCGACAGCCGTTCTCAAATAACTTTTTGTTTCGGTAAAATTTCCACCGCTCGGTGCAATAATTGAGGAAAAGCGCGAGCAAAGTGTACGTGAAGTGGGCCCAATAACTCTCAATGCTAACCCTCGGGGCTTAACCAGCGCAAGCTTTGCAAAAGCATACTGGTAACGACATTTTAATGACGTAACATCATATTTTCCTCGGTAATATATGTAATTGTTGTTGCCAGATGGCACGTCTGCGGCAGCCATTCCCGATTGGCAAGGCAGTGCAGGCGGTGTTGCGTCCCTGTGTGTGTCAAGCAGGGCCCGATGGCCAGCTGTCACTTAGTGGCAAGTGACATGACAAACTAAAACTCACCTATCTTTATTTTACCAGGTAAGACCCACTGAGCTATATGGCTCTTTTTCAGAAGCGACCTGGCCACAAATGATAGCTCAACGAAGTGGCTTATCACGTGAAAATGTATAGCAGCGAAATACTCTAAACGCGTGATGTTGATTCTAAATGTGGAGGGAAAAACCGGAGGAGCCGGAGAAAAATCGACACGACACGGGGTGAACATGCAAACTCCAAACATACAGCAGGCATCAGGGTCGGGATCAAACCCACAACCTCCTGTATACCAGGTGAGGGAGTTAATATCTCACCACCGTAGCTTGTGCTGGAAACGACAGCGCAAGGAAGCACGCAGCGGGGAGAACGCTGTGCACCACACTCCGGGTCACTCTCTTGCAGAAACACGTGGGCACGCGCACATGCAGGCAACCCTTGTGTCATTCCACTACTAGATGAGGGCCTCCCCGTGCCACACGGGCCATGCGGGTTGTGTGGGTTGAAAGAGCGCAGACGCGGGGGGGGGGGGGGGGGCTAGGAGTACAGTACGGCAATGGAGTGTGCTGTACTGCCCTCTGCTGCCCACCGCGTAACCCCGCAGCATCAGCCTATATCACCTGTTTTGTAACGGTGGCGACCATCCAACCATATCCAGGCTCAAATTCCCGCTTAGCTTCCAAGATCCAATGCGATCGGGCGCATTCAGGCCGACTTGGTCAAAGGCTCAACGCGCACACAGGACGCATTGTATTCAACAGCTAGCACTGCATGTGAAAGGAATTGCTATCCTCAAAACACGTTTGGACTCTACAACCATTAAACGTTCCTTTGCTTACACTAAACGTGCGAGCAGCAACGTGTTTTCAATGCCGGCTCCCCATGAGCGTCTGTGGAGGAAGCTCCATGGTACGCCTTTTGCGTTTAGTTTGCCGTCCTTCCCCGCACCTCCGATTAGCACGGTTGGCTACGTAGGGCGCGAAAGAAGTTCAACGTGCACACAGGACACGCGTACCGGGACGACCGAGCGAGCTGCGATCCCAGCTGCATTGTGGGATCCCTGCGGCCACACGGTTCGAGAACCGAATCGCCTCTGCTTGTAGTGACTGCAGCAAAGGCATTCACCAACCCACGGAGAGGCGCTCCTCCGGCATTAACCGTGACTGAGCGACGTAGCACGTAAGCGCCATTCGGCCTTGAAGCATTCCCCTTGCGAATTCCTCACGCATTCTACATCGTGAAGCAAGCCCAAGGGTCATTTCGGGTACAATGCACCGTGCATCTCGACACACAGGGTGCACGCGACATGGGCAGACTTGGTACATGAGTCCTCGGAACTAAAACGCTAAAGCCAACGGCAGACGGGCACGTTACCGGCAAGAGTAAACACAGGTCGGTGTGAAAAGGGCCCAGTAAATGCATAAAGTGTACCTAAAGACTGGCAGAGTCTAGAGTAGTGTATCACAAGTGCAGTTTTCACTTAAATCCACACCAGTGTATTCACATGTAGTTTGTATTATTATTTCTAAATTAGGCACGTCGCAATGCAATGAATCGTCGATTAAAATTGAATCCTGCAAAAATCTATTCTTTAAAAAGTTATGCAAATATGCTGTTTCACATACACAAGCAACTCGACAAAAGATGGAAGAAATGTGAAAACAAACGAGATGGTAAAAAAAAATATACGAGGCACTTTTTTGTTTTTGATTCTTCAATCGAATCACGACCCCGGATAGTGACAGTTCATTGAAATGCAGGCAGAGGGAGGGAATACTGGAGTTAAGTGGCATATGCTTCATGGTAAATAGTGCATACAGCGTGCTATGCACAAAACACCAACCTGCTCCAAGCTCCAACGAGAGGATTCAACTAAATGAAAGGTCTGTGTGGAAATTACATTTCGATTTTTTTCTCCCCGCCTCTTGTAAAAAGATGAAGGTGCAGCCCTGCAATTGCTCGCTCACGCCACTGCTGGCGGCAGGGCCTCCACCAGAGGCAGCTCTAAATCCCCGCTCGAGGGAATTCTGGCCTACTCTTCCACGCTGGTCAGACGTCTTGGGGAAACAAAGGTTAGAGGTACCCACACTTTACCCCACCACACGAATAACTCTGGTGTACAGTACCCCGTTTATACCGCTGGCTGGACAGAGGCAGCGGCATTTAAGAAACTTGACCACTGTTTCAACTCGCTGCGCCCGGAGATCAATACGGTGACCTGGATCGCAAGTCTCGTGTGCTAACCATTCATATTTTGGCAGCAGCGGCATACTGTCTAAAGTATATACTTAAAATATTGGCACATAATCCTGGCCCTGAAATACAATAACTTCTCATCAGGTAAAAGATAATTTCTATCATCAGAGCACTCGGCTTCCACGTGGCCAACGTTTCACAGCCCCACGTCTGCCACCATCGTGAATGATTATCACGTGGAGAGAGGCACCAGCGATCCGCCACTCTCCACTGCGACTTCTACCTGTGGGTGCCCAAGGTGGGTGGTACAACCCACCCCGATATTGATGAGGCATGTGCCACCTTAAATTGGGGGAAGAGCCAGTTCAAATGCTTGCATAGGCTGGTTTCTTTCCCATCGTAACCTGTTTTGATAGGATTTATTTGTTTAAAAAAAACAGGAAGAAAAACCTAGTGTGCATGTGTGTGTTCATAGTTGTCACCTCTGAAGTAAAAAAAAAACACCCAGGATATATCATGGGCATAGCATAAAAAGTACAGGTGGTCCCTCAGTTAACGTCTTCAATCCGTTCCACGAAAACTACTCTTAACTGAAATAACTGATATCGAATATAGGAATTACGTGAGTCTGCAAGAGAGCTGTTTCCACTGCCTAAACAGAAAACGTTATAATGTAAACAAAACCAGTCGAGGTCTTAACGCTCATAAATGGGCGTCGCTGATTGGCTGAGGGCGTTGCTAAGCCCCACTTACGGGCGCTATGATTGGCCGAAATTGTCGCCCGCGTGGATAACGTAAACACATGACCATTAATCAGAATGTTAACGTTAACCGTGGGGTGCTATGGGAGGCGAAACTTTAACCGGAAAACTGTTAACCGATGTCACTGTTAACCGAGGGACTACCATATATCTCACAATACCAGAGGAGCGGAGAACTAAACGTAAATACATCCGTCTTGGGCGGTGTATTATTACGCAACTGAGAAAAACATATCCTGTGAAAACGTCTCAACGAGAGGACCACATTGTGGGAAAACCGCGACGAGCGGCAACCCCTCGCGATACCGTCCAACCCTCGGAGTTGGGCGACGCCGCGCGTGCAGCGGGCGTCTAGTTGAGCGCGCCGGCCTCCGTGTAGTTGGTGCCCTCCTGGCTGAAAAAGTCCTCGAGCTGCCACTGCAGCGTCTCGAAGGTGGGCCTTGCCTGGTCGTCGACGTTCCAGCACTCGAGCATGAGATCGTAGAAGGCCTGCGGGCAGCCCGGCGGGCACGGCATGCGGTAGCCGCGGTCCACTGCGGCCAGCACCTCCGCGTTGGTCTGGCCTGTGGTGCAGGGGAACAATGCGCTAGCTGCAGCGGAAAAGCCTTTCCTCGCAGACCGTGTGACACTTTTACCACGACGGACCGCCGCTACGGTGTTCCCTCGTTAATTTGCGAGCTTGCTGCCCGCGATTTTTTGGCTATCCGCGAATGGCATCGGGAACTCTGCACAACTGCTGCATCGAGGCAGAGAGAGAAAGAAAGTGATGAGATCAAGTGACATGAGAGATAAAGGGATAAGAGAGTGATGAAATAACGTGATGAGAGATAAAGCGATGAGAGAGAAAGTGATGATGCGTAGCATGATGCATAGCGTCATCATAATTTAAGGTAAGTTAATTCATCAACTATTATTTAATACTTTTAGATTTATTTTAAATTTCTTTATGTTTATTATAACCACATTTTTGTATTATTATGATAATTTTCATGTATTTAATAGGTCATGTATTCATTTAAGATAATTAATTAAAAGCTAGATTCTCGTAGGCCAATATCATTATCCCCAAAATTTTCCATTCACAAGCATCTCCGGAATGCGTCCACCGCGAATAACGAGGGAACGCTGTACAAAACCAAAGTTTACTCACAACACGTACAATCGGTATAATGTTACAATTATACCGATCGCATAATGTAAGTGGTGGAGCAGTGGTTAATATCCCATTCTAGCAAAGCGAGTTTGATTCCTGGCCATGGCTAACATTAATGGCAAGTGACATAAAAAAAAATAACTAAACTATTTTTGGTTTAATACGTAGGCTTTCGCGACCAATATTATTCAAAGAAAGTTTTTTGGGTTAGATCGCGTTATTTATAAATGTGTCGTAACCCTCCACCACCCGACACGGCCAATCAGCAAAAAAGTGTCACGTTGGCAAAAGACAATTAGTTCACTACTTTAGCCCACCGGTGTGTTGAAGAGTGAATCCACAACATTTAAGGTTTGAATACGACGTTTCGCTGGTAATTACATCTAGCATCATCGGGCAATTCGCCAGAATGGTAAAGCCCTCACTTGCTCTCGGTCTTAAATAGAGCAGCAGGGTGATGTCATCATTTAACTCATTTCAGGTGAAGTGATTTGAGGCGGAGGGGGGGGTATTGTAATTATATAATCGATTGGTAATCAGTCAATGGTTATGATTAGTAATGAGTTGTAGATTAGTAATTAGTTGTAATGTGTGTTATTGTGATTATATGCTACATTAGTAATCCGTTAATTAATATGTGTTTCCCCTATAAGGAATTGTAATATGTATTATTTAATAATACGCTTCCAAGCCGCACTAAGCCTATAGCTATCAGAACGATTAAAGTTATTTCTGTTTCTCTCAATTTCAATGGATTCTCTAATTAGTCTTTGCCAGTAATAATTAGTTTTACACAATACTTCAACGTTATCAAAATAAATTGAGTGTCCTTGTTGACAAGCATGTTCTGCCACTGCCGGCAGTTGTGTTTGAGATAATTTAATATTTCTTTGGTGTTCTTTTAGTCTTATGCTGATGTTACGACCCTGGCGCCTGCATAATTGGAGTTTGCACATTTTCCCCCTGGTCGCAAAATAGTTTTCTTACGGGTCCTCCGGTCTTTCTCTCTCCACCTTTAGAATCAACATCACCACGCGTTTAGAGTATTTGGCTGCTATACATTTCCACGTTATAAGCCACTTTGTTGAGCTATCATTTGTGGCCAGATCGCTTCTGAAAAAAGAGTGATATAATTCAGTGGGCCTTACCTGGTAAAATAAAAACCCTCGACCTCCTGCATACGAGGCGAGGTAGTTAACATCTCGACACCGCGGTGAAATGGTCCTGGGCACCGACCCGTGTAGTGAACGAGAGCGTCTGTTCACCGTGAATGTATTGGCAATTACTGAAGCGTAAGATGTTAATTTATTATTATTATGCTCGTTTACTCAGGCAGGCCTCAAGCTGTTTTTTTTCAGGAGGGCCCTGCCAAGTCTGTGCAGTCGGGGGCGCTGTTGCTACACTTTCGAGTAATTTGCAGGGTATTTTTCAGCATTGGGTTGTTTGTCCAATACAATGTTTTGGTTCTTTCGGTAAAGTCACATTGTGTGTGTGTTTTTTAGCTGGAGGAAGAACTTCAGAAGAACTCAGAGGAAATCCATGCAGAACGGGGCGAAAACATACAAACTGTGCACAGAGTGTTACAATCGAACACAGGCCCCTCTTGCTCTGAGGCACGAGTGTATTCATCCCCCTTGACTAGGCTGTCTGTCACATCTGAACTGCCAAGTAATAATTAAAAAAACATTGAAAAGCAAACAAATCAGCCATGAAATGTCCAGCATTAGCAGCGTGTTTGCTCTCCTTGTTGACCGCAAGGCCTGTTGCATGTCCCAGCTTGCGTGGCGAGCATTCCCATTCCCCCCCACACCCACGCGCCCTCCTCCTCCTCGCGCCTCCCAAGCCCCCGTGCACGCGCGGCACCTGGGTACGGAAGCTTGCCGTAGGTGATGATCTCGTGCAGGAGCACCCCGAAGGACCACACGTCGGACTTGATGGAGAAGCGGTTGTAGTTGGCAGCCTCCGGCGCGGTCCACTTGATGGGAAACTTGGAGCCCACCCGTGCCTCATACTCATCCTCCTGAGGAAGCACAGAGGAACACATTTAGACGAAACAATTTTTTTATTTCACCAGGTAAAGGCCCATTGCGCTGTATAGCTCTTTTTCAGAAGCTACCTGCCAATCACAAATGATAGCTAAATTAAGCGGCTTATCACGTGGAAAGTTATAAAAGGCAAATATTATACTTCTTGTGGCAAGGTGACTTCTATAAACAAAAGGAAGGAGCAGCAATGGGCTCTCCTTTGTCTCCTGTGATAGCGAAATTGTACATGGAAGATTTTGAAACAAAAGCAATAGCTTCAAGCACACTAAAACCATGGGCTTGGTTTAGGTATGTGGATGACACATTGGTGGTCTGGCCACACGGCAAAGATACACTGAACGCATTTGTAAATCATCTCAACTCGCAAAACCCATCCATCCAGTTCACCATGGAAGTGGAAGCTGACAGAACTCTTATCATTTCTGGATATTCTGCTCGGACGGTGTAGAAATGGTAAAATAACACAGTGTTTACTGAAAGAAAATGCATACTGACGCCTATCTGAATGCAGTCACACCATCACCCCGCACAAAATACTGCTCTTATAAAGATGCTCATTCATCGAGCAAAGAAAGTGGCAGATGGTGACATTCTGAGAAATTAAATTCAACATGTTAAAAAAGCGCTGCAAATGAAAGGTGACAATGATGCACAAATCAACAGGGCATTGAATACCAAAACCAAATCAAATAACAAGAGCATTGAAACTGCCCAAGTAATTAAAACGATCAAAATAACGTACATTGCAGGAGTAACTGATAAACTAGCCAAATGTTTGGAAAAAAACAAAACATCCGAGTCAGATTTGGCACAGTACATAAAATACAAAATTTAATATCTGGTACAAAAGATGTATTACCGAAGCTATCAACAGAAGGTGTGTACAGGATTAACTGCACGTGTGGTAAATGTTATGTTGGGCAAACAGGACAAATGATCAGCACGAGACTAAAAGAACATCAGATAAATATTAAATTATCCCAAATGCAACTGTCAGCAGTAGCAGAACAAGCGTGCCAACAAGGACACTCAATTGATTTTGTTAATGTTGAAGTTTTGTGCAAAACTAGCTACTACTGGCCAAGACTAATTCGAGAATATATCGAAATTGAAAGAAATCAAAATAACTTTAACCGTTCGGATAGCTACCGTCTTAGTGCTGCGTGGAAGCGAATCAACAAATAATACATTATTTAAATGTATGCCTACAAAGGGCAGCGTACTTCAATAGTGATTACCGTTGGTAGGGCTATTTTAATAAATACAATAGACAGGAAGGACACGTTCAAAGGGCTCGCATATTGCACATGCATAATGTACGTTGCCTCAGAAATCCCACACCCCACCCCCCCATCATTGTGCAAGAGCGCAGAATGGTGGTCAACACATCTACGCCTCTATATAAGGAACGAAACAGTAAGACTTCTCCACAAATCTGGCTGTTGCCTGATGAAGCTAGTTGTAATTACTGGCGAAACGTCGTACTCAGTTTGTAAATGTTGTGGCTTGGCTCTCAAACAAACCGGTGTGCTGTACTAGTGACGAATTGGCCACGTTCTGTTAACGTAACAACCCTTACTAGTTGGCTGTGTCGGGTGATGGCGGGTTTTAACGACACATTTATATATTTACACGATCTAACCCAAAAACCTCTATTATGGATGATATTGGTCGCGAAAGCCTACGTGTTAAACTTTACAAAACCCATTACAGAAATGTAGAATACTCAAGAAAAATAATTGAAAAACAAAGGGACCTTGTTTGCTGCCATTTTAGATTTGACATTTAGATTTTATTTATTTTTAGCGGGAAGGACCCAAAAAGGTATTGAATGGGCGCCCCTGCGACAGAACAATTTTATTACAATTGTGCTATTTGGCATCGTGCCAATCAGATGAGGGAGTTTGCATTTGGAATCCTGCAGCCAGAAAACAGTCTGGAAGGAGAAATCACGGAGCTGCTTCTGGAGTCACCTGAACAGGCATCTGTCTCTGCCCTGGGACACTTCTCTGACACGCCCTGCAAACTGTTTGTGTCACATGTCAATCAATTGAAACAAGCCAGATTAAGCGGAAAAACTAAAACGGTTTAATATGATCCGTAATAAAGGTTTTTTTGTTGAGTTAAATCGCAGAAATATCAATGTGTTGTTAACCCGCCACCACCCGACAGAGTCAATTAGTAATGTTTGTCACGTAAAAAAAAGTGCCAATTAGTTACTAGTTTAGCACACCAGTGTGTTGGAGAGTAAACCCACAGCATTTACAATTTGAGAGAGAGGTAGGACCGTGGCCCAGTGGTTTGCGCTCTGTGCTATGACCCCCAACAATGTTGCGTTTAGTTCCTGGCACCGACTAATATCAGCGGTGAGTATGTGCTGTATGTACATTAAACTTCTTTCACACTGTACGTAGCCAACTGTGCTAATCGGAGGTGGCGGGGGGCTAGGACAACAAACTAAAATACAAAAATCAGCTCTAAAAAATAATAAAAGCGTTTTCAATCTTAGATGATCTGAAATTGCACGGGTCCCAGTGGCTTCCTAATTTTTCTGAAGGGTGTTGCAGACGGCTGCGGAAGCGCATCTGAAAAAGCGCCGCGCAATGCGGTGACCGTCTTTGTTCCATGGCCGAGCCAAAATTAGCGTGATAATCCAAAAGCGGTCCAGGGCCCTCTCCTTCCCATGCCTTAACACAACCCCCCTCACGCAGGAGAAGGGCCCTTGGCCCTCGTTGACCGACGGATAGAGTGGGAGGTCGTATCGTGGCGAGCACGCGACCTTGATAACCCTGGCAAGGCCGAAGTCGGCCACTTTGCAGGCGTTGTGCTCGGCCACGAGGATGTTGCGTGCCGCCAGGTCGCGGTGGATGTAGTTCTGCGCCTCCAGGTACGCCATCCCCGCCGCCACCTGGGCTGCCATGTCCACCAGCTCCACCAGGTCCAGGCTCCTCCCTTCGGGGGCTGCATGAACGATTGTTAAAAGTGTTATTTGGTGGGCTGTTTGAATGTTTTTTTTAAATTTAAACTGTGAATAACTCCACCGTTGATGGACATGGATTGTAATTTATATGAATATAAGCAGGGTGCTTAAAAAAATGTTAACACTTATATGGGACTATTGTTTGTAATGGGAAAAGAATGGATAATACACTGTAACATGATAACAAATGTTAATAGCTTCAAAAAGTCAGAGTCTGCACTTGTTTGCCATCATTGTCAACACGTGCCTGGAATCGTGCCCGGAGGCGCATTTCTAGTGGTATTGTTGCAAAAATCTCGGACGTGTTAACATTTTTTTGAAGCACCCTGTATTCACTCCTCCCTACCTTTAGTCTTTGCACCTGATTGGATCGCAAGTGACGACACCACATGTATCCCTCTATTCAAGACGGATAACAGGAGGAGGATTTCTCCACAATTCCGGCTGTCGCCTGATGATGCTGGCTGTTGTAATTACCAGCGAAACGTCACGGTACTCGAATTGTAAATGTTGCAGTGGGTTTACTCTCCAACACACAACCGGTGTGTTGAACTAGTAACTAATTGGCACGTTTTGTTTACGTGACAAACCTTACTAACTGGCTGTGCCGGGTGGTGGCAGGATTAACAACGCATTTATATTTACACGATCTAACCCAAAAAATAAATCTATTATGGATATTGGTCACGAAAGCCTACGTGTTAAATTGTTTGTTATTTAAAACAGGGGCGATGTTATGGCATTCGCGTGACGTATGTGTCGCATCATTGCATTGCAGAATGACATCATGATATTGCATGACGTCAATATCTCTGAAAATATGGCTGCTGATGATCTCGGACACGAGTCTGCTGTTGTTAATCTTTGAATCTATAACAGGATGTTTCACGCAGTCACGGTGACGGTGTTCGATTCGAAATGTAGATGAGCTCTGGGTCGGCCATCGGCATCCAACCCCACCAACTAACCCAGTGATAAACGAGTGCACAAGTTTATCGGTCCTCCCATACAGAGAGCAGGTCGCTTGCAAAGCCCCTTGAGTCATGGATGCAGCGATAGAGGGTGGGCTCGTTTATTCGTAACAAGACACCACTGCATGAGTAAGAGCATGGGTTGAGCAGCGACCTTGGCGACACAATATTGCACGATACAAGATCCGCGATAATCGGATGATCCAATTTTGCTAAATATCATTATATCGTGATTGGTGTTACTCATATTTTTCCCCTATTTTATTTCCTGAGATAATATTTATGGAAAAACAAAAGCAGAAAGAGTTAAGTTGTAAATGAGTGGCTATTGCCCATTAAATCAGTGCTTTCCAAAACGTCTATCGTGATATGACCTCATCCAGTTGACGACGTGATATGACCTCATCCTGTTCTCATGCGTGCAAAAAAATACAATTTAGTTATTGGTCAAACTAACGATACGTGCGTTACAAGTGTTATAGATCACAAAGTGGGAAATGATTAAAACGCTTATAGCATGTATTCTAGATTTGAAGCTTTCGTGACTGCAAGGAGTCATACTCTTTGGTTTTATTTGGTATAGTCACGTAAATAAAATAAAACAAAATGAAAGAAAATAATTAAATCACAATTGGATTTAATTATTTTCTTTTATTTTGATTTAATTACTTACTTTTATTTAGTTTTATATTATCTACGTGACTTTACCGAATAAAACCAAAGAGTATGCTTATAGCATGCTTATGTTGAGTGATGAATACATAACTTGCTAAGTTTGGTTGTGAGGATTCAACAGGCGGGCTAGACGCTTGTCGGCCACATGGCTATTTGTTTGGCTGTGTCGGGTGGTGGAGGGTTTCGAATGACACATTTCGTCAGACCATGAGGTGGCCCATTCCAAATATCAATTATAAATTGAAGAAATGAATACTGCATCGCAGGCCTAGTGAGGGCACGCACTCTGCAGGCCTAGTGAGGGCAAGCACTCTGCAGGCCTAGTGACGGCACGCACTCTGCAGGCCTAGTGAGGGCACGCACTCTGCAGGCCTAGTGAGGGCACGCACACTGCAGGCCTAGTGAGGGCACGCACTCTGCAGGCCTAGTGAGGGCACGCACTCTGCAGGCCTAGTGAGGGCACGCACTCTGCAGGCCTAGTGAGGGCACGCACTCTGCAGGCCTAGTGAGGGCACGCACTCTGCAGGCCTAGTAGTGAGGGCACACACTCTGCAGGCCTAGTAGTGAGGGCACACACTCTGTAGGCCTAGTAGTGAGGGCACGCACTCTGCAGGCCTAGTAGTGAGGGCACACACTCTGCAGGCCTAGTAGTGAGGGCACGCACTCTGCAGGCCTAGTAGTGAGGGCACACACTCCATAGGCCTAGTAGAGAGGGCACGCACTCTGCAGGTAGTTGGCCAAGCTGCCGTTGCTCATGAGCTCCGTGATGATGTAGATGGGCTCCTCCTGCGTGCACACGGCGTAGAGCTGGATGAGCTTGGGGTGCCGCAGGCGTTTCATGAGCTGGGCCTCCCTGAGGAAGTCATCGCGGTCCATGGTCCCTGCACTCCAGACAGTCGCACCAGAGCGGCACTGATCCACAGCGTGCGTTGGCTAGAGGACCTCGCGGGAATGCCCCGTGAGGCCGCCTCGTGGTCACGATTGCGGATCAGAATCAGACTATTTGTTTATACTGGAGGAATTCAATGAGCTGTATCACGCTCTTTTTCACATATTCAGTGGGATACTCAAGAAAGGGAGCCATTTCTATCAACGCAAAGGAAATGAAGGGGAAATGGGTAGCCCACGTAATGAGATTAATAAAAAAATAATTACCAGGTAAAGCTCACTGAGGTATATAGCTAGGTAGGCCTCCGATTAGCACAGTTGGCTACATATGGTGCGAAATAAGTTCAACGTACATACATGGCTCGTTTTCTGAAGCGACCTGAGCAGAAATGATAGTGCAACAGTGGCTCATCGTGTGGAAATTTACAGGAGCCAAATACTTTAAACGCATGATGTTTTTTTCTAAATGTGGAGGGAAAAACCGGAGGACTCGGAGGAAAATCCACACGACCACAGGAAGAGAGACAACGCAAACTCCAAATATACAGCAAGCGTCAGGGTCGGGATCGAACCCACGACCTCCTGCATACCAGGTGAGGTAGATAATATCTCACCTCACCGTGGCGCCCCTTATGAGAGATTTAATGAGAAGTAAAATGAACGCCGGAGGAGAGGCGGAGTGAAGAGAAGCCAAGCAGCAGAGACGACATCGCAGTGTTCTATGGGACCTTTTCGCCAGTATCCAAGATGATAACAAATAAGAATATGTGTTTACCCTTCGTGGCAAGACAACAGGTGTGCAGATGTTCAAGGTGTGCAGATGTTCAAACATCAAATAGATACCTTTTGCAAGGTATCAATTCTGCATTAACCATACATACCTATGGCAATAAACATACCAACAAATACGCTCTGATAATGTGGCATTGTCTTTGAAACCGATTGGCCTACACCAGAGACAGCCTTCTTTGTGGCCTTGTCTCACCACCAGAGAACGCCAAAACGCGAACAGTACAAAGACACTGCAAGTTTCAGACCAAATAGATACCTTTTGGAAGACATCGAGTCTGCACGAACCACACATATTTGGTGTTTGAACATCTTAACACCTGTTTCATTGCCAGAAAGGGTAAAACATTCTTATTTTTCATCATCTTAGATACTGGCAAAAGGTCCCAAAGATATAACTGCTCGACCCAAGGTTCAGATATCACTCCACACCAATGTCAGCCATGGCTAGGAATTAAACCTAGGTCGCTGGTTTATCGCAGTTCGTTTAATAAAACAGAACATGACTGTAATTATTTACACGGTTATGAAACCATCGTTAAATGTCTGCATTCTGGCCGATTGACAAAAGCAGCCAAGGTTTATAGACACAATATAAACCCTGTCAGAGGAAGCCGCTCACCCAGTGTCGCCAACTCGGTGAGTCTGATGTCAAATCGAATTACTGTTTGTGTTTAACTTAACACCAAATTACATTCATGCGACCCGCGACAAATCTGTTGACTCTCTGGGCACGAGGTAAATTGCTTTAGTGGCAGCATATTTATGAGGGGCGCCACGGTGGCTAGGAGATGTTAACTCCCTCACCGAGTATACAGAATGTCGTGGGTTCGATCCCTACCCTGGCGCCTGCTGCATATTTGGAGTTTGTGTGTGTCTCTCTCTCTCATCATCATCACGGTGGCTAGGATATCTTAATTCCCTCACCTGGTATACAGAAGTTTGTGGGTTCGATCCCGACCCTGACGCCTGCTGCTGTATATTTGGAGTTTGGGTGTCTCTCTCCCCATGGTCGCGTGGATTTTTCTCCGGAGTCCTCCGGTTTTTCCCTCCACATTTAGAATGAACGTCACACGTTCAGAGTCATTTGGCTGCTTATAGATTTCCACGTGGTGACCTATCATTTGCGATGGCCAGGTTCGCTTCGATAGTTAAAAAGACTTCGGAAGGTAATAAACGTTCACGAGCCGTTTTCGTTCGGGCGACTTTCCACGTTCGAGGGGGGGTCGTGGCAAACACGGCAACCGCGGCTCACCTTGCTTGAGGGTTTTGATGGCGACCGGCGTGGTCTTGTTCCAGAGGCCCTGCCACACTTCCCCAAACTGCCCAGCGCCCAGACGTTTCACCAGCTGCACGGAGCTGCGGGGGATCTCCCACTTGTCGGCCATGTCCGACGAGAGGCCCTCCGTCTGAGGCATCTCTTTCTGCGCCGGGAGGGGGCAGGAGGAGGAGGAGGAGGGAAAGAAAAGCGACTGGTGGCTTGGCCAAAACAAGATGGGGACTCTGCGCGGAGGAAGCGGAGCCGTGGCAACATACATCCCGCAAAGAAATCTGTTTACATTTCAGCAGGATTATGATTATTATTCTTCACGATGTTTACAGTGGTTGAGAATAAAAAAAATTAGAGTCAATGCTTCCGCCGGTTAGATCCACGAGCGGCCCAAAAAGAGATCTTTACCTTCCCTGCAGAGTTAGCCTGTGCTTCCAAAGGGCAGTAATATAAACGAGGCAGGCTTGAGAACCGACGTTAAAATCTGTTTCCGTGCAAACAGGCGTTCGATAAGTTCCTCGCTCCGCAACCCCAATGCGTGGCTCGTCTCGAGAGACGCGCGCGGACAGACACATCTGCAGGCGCGTTGGGCTGGGGATGCACGCACCTTCAGGCAGGGCTGGTTGAGCGTCACGCACAGGCCGTTGGCATCGCGGCTGTAGCTCTGCACCAGGTCGCGCAGGGTCGCGAACTGGTTGCGTCGCGTGATGAAGAAGCTGCCCTTCTCCAGCACCCGGATCTTGTAGTGCTTCACCGTGTCGCCATCGCGCACTGATGGAGACAACAAAACCCCACGCAATGTCTCCAGCTACCAGGTAACGTCTCCAGCTGCGGTCCTACGATCGCCAGCCAGCACACCAGTGAGATATTCACAGCTAGGAGACAAGGAGGTATGAAGACGATTTAATCCGTAGCACGTGCAACGTGCACAATTCACGTCATAAGATTTGTTATAAATTGGGATTTTCCTTACGTGAAACTGAATTTACGCTGTCGATTCCTCAGCGTGGCGCGACGTCAAATGGCGAATGATGCATTGGGCCTGTGCACACGGCTAAGATATCACGTCACACGGGACGTCACGTGACGGGGGACGTCACGTGACATTTGCCCAACAGCACACGCAATGTTTACGTTTATATATTTGTAAGTGGCCCACCAATGAGGCAGAGTTCAAGAAGCCTGCAGGAGGCTTTCCTCTAGAATATTCTAGGGCTGAGCCGTCACTGCCTCACGAGTAGGGTGGAGGGGGGGGGTGCAAGAGGGGCAGCAGCGCCGCTCATGGCGCTGCTTCACCGCACAAGCAGCGCCGTGAGCGGTGGATGGTGATGGGAGACGCTGCGGTGTGGAGAGAGAAGAAGGGAGAGGGAGGAAGAAAGAGGAGAGGAAGGAAGAGAGGAAGGGAGGCAGCGAGGGGCACACCTGAGAGCGAGTATCCGTGTCCGCTCGTCTCGCTCTGGCGCACCAGAAAGGAGCCGTGAACGTTGCCAGACTTCATCAGCTGCCGCTCCGCTTCGCTTCTTTTAATTGGCCCGAAGAACCACCTGCAGCGAGAGAGAGGGACGGAGAGAGAGGGACGGAGAGAGAGGGGGGGGAGGGTCCGAGAGTGGATGAGAGAGAGGGAGAGAGTTTCCCCCGCAGCTCAGTAACCGCCACACGCGCCCCGTCGGCCTCCACGTGCCCGTTCCTCAATGGGCACGTGGGACCGTTGCCCTACCAGCCTCGTGCAGGCACCACGGCCGGCAGGGCCAGAAACCTGCCGCTGGGAACTCAAAGAGGACAATGATTGGGTGGCAAAACGAGTCTGCATGCTTGCGCAGAGCAAGACGGGTCGACCGTCTGACAGATTGCACCGGTCAAAGTGCACGGCTCTGCTGGGCGGAGCGTCTGTTTGAAAAGATTGGATTCGTCCGGTATAAATAGGGACTCTTGATTCAGATCTCCTCGACACTGCTCCCAATCCATCTCCTCGCCACGGCCCCCAGGTCAGAAGGCAAGGAGTGGCTGTACACAGCAGCAGCAGCACGCAGAAAAACCCGTTTCATTAATAACCCCCCCCCCCACCGCCTGCCTGCTTGCCCCGTGTCGACAGAGACGCCACCGCTTCCTCCTCCATGCCGTCTGCAGGTGTTTAAACGTCGTCACAACTGCGTGCTCACCAACCGACCACTCCATGCTCACCAACCGACTACTGTGTGCTCACCAACTGACTACTCCGTGCTCACCAACCGACCACTCCATGCTCACCAACCCACTACTGCATGCTCACCAACCGACCACTCAATGCTCACCAACCGACCACTGCGTGCTCACCAATCGGCTACTGTGTGCTCACCAACCCACTACTGCGTGCTCACCAACCCACTACTGAATGCTCACCAACCCACTACTGCGTGCTCACCAACCCACTACTGAATGCTCACCAACCCACTACTGCGTGCTCACCAACCCACTACTGAATGCTCACCAACTGACTACTGCGCGCTCACCAACTGACTACTGCGTGCTCACCAACCCACTACTGCGTGCTCACCAACCAACTACTGTGCGCTCACCAACTGACTACTGCATGCTCACCAACCGACTACTGCGTGCTCACCAACCCACTACTGCGTGCTCACCAACCCACTACTGCGCGCTCACCAACTGACTACTGCGTGCTCACCAACTGACTACTGCATGCTCACCAACCGACTACTGCGTGCTCACCAACCCACTACTGCGCGCTCACCAACTGACTACTGCGCGCTCACCAACTGACTACTGCGTGCTCACCAACCGACTACTGCATGCTCACCAACCGACTACTGCGTGCTCACCAACCCACTACTGCGCGCTCACCAACTGACTACTGTGCGCTCACCAACCGACTACTGCATGCTCACCAACTGACTACTATGTGCTCACCAACTGACTACTACATGTTTACCAACCAACTACTGCATACAGTGAGGGAAAAAAGTATTTGATCCCCTGCTGATTTTGTGCGTTTGCCCACTGACAAAGAAATTATCAGTCTATAATTTTAATGGTAGGTTTATTTGAACAGTGAGAGACAGAATAACAACAACAAAATCCAGAAAAAACGCATGTCAAAAATGTTATAAATTGATTTGCATTTAATGAGGGAAATAAGTATTTGACCCCCTCTCAATCAGAAAGATTTCTGGAGATTAGGAGCACTCCCTTAAAGAGTGTGCTCCTAATCTCAGCTCGTTACCTGTATAAAAGACACCTGTCCACAGAAGCAATCAATCAATCAGATTCCAAACTCTCCACCATGGCCAAGACCAAAGAGCTCTCCAAGGATGTCAGGGACAAGATTGTAGACCTACACAAGGCTGGAATGGGATACAAGACCATTGCCAAGCAGCTTGGTGAGGTGACAATAGTTGGCACGATTATTCGCAAATGGAAGAAACACAAAAGAACTGTCAATCTCCCTCGGCCTGGGGCTCCATGCAATATCTCACCTCGTGGAGTTGCAATGATCATGAGAACGGTGAGGAATCAGCCCAGAACTACACGGGAGGATCTTGTCAATGATCTCAAGGCAGCTGGGACCATAGTCACCAAGAAAACAATTGGTAACACACTACGCCGTGGAGGACTGAAATCCTGCAGTGCCCGCAAGGTCCCCCTGCTCAAGAAAGCACATATACATGCCCGTCTGAAGTTTGCCAATGAACATCTGAATAATTCAGAGGACAACTGGGTGAAAGTGTTGTGGTCAGATGAGACCAAAATGGAGCTCTTTGGCATCAACTCAACTCGCCTATGACCCCAAGAACACCATCCCCACCGTCAAACATGGAGGTGTTTTTCTGCTAAGAGGACAGGACAACTTCACCGCAAAGGGACGATAGACGGGGCAATGTACCGTCAAATCTTGAGTGAGAACCTCCTTCCCTCAGCCAGGACAATGAAAATGGGTCGTGGATGGGTATTCCAGCATGACAATGACCAAAAACACACAGCCAAGGCAACAAATAAGTGGCTCAAGAAGAAGCACATTAAGGTCCTGGAGTGGCCTAGCCAGTCTCCAGACCTTAATCCCATAGAAAATCTGTGGAGGGAGCTGAAGGTTCGAGTTACCAAACGTCAGCTTCGAAACTTTAATGACTTGGAGAAGATCTGCAAAGAGGAGTGGGACAAAATCCCTCCTGAGATGTGTGCAAACCTGGTGGCCAACTACGAGAAACGTCTGACCTCTGTGATTGCCAACAAGGGTTTTGCCACCAAGTACTAAGTCATGTTTTGCAGAGGGGTCAAATACTTATTTCCCTCATTAAAATGCAAATCAATTCATAACATTTTTGACATGCGTGTTTCTGGATGTTTGTGTTGTTATTCTGTCTCTCACTGTTCAAATAAACCTACCATTAAAATTATAGACTGATCATTTCTTTGTCAGTGGGCAAACGTACAAAATCAGCAGGGGATCAAATACTTTTTTCCCTCACTGTACTTACGAACTGACTACTGCGTGGTCACCAACTGACTACTGCATGCTCCCCAACTGACTACTGCATGCTCCCCAACCGAGTTCCTTAGGTGCGACGCATTTCCCACCGCGCGAGTTACGCCCCTCCGATTAGCGCGGCTGGCTACATACGGTGCGAAAGCCGTTTGACGTACGTCCTGTACGTGACGTGAAACCGGCCATCACCGCAATGAGCATGATGGCAGCGCGTCTCCTGTCCCCCCAGTAAAGATGCCTGTCCTCACTCTCACCATCTTCTCCTGCAGTGACACGAACTCAATGGTGAATCTGTCCTAAGGTGGCGGCACAAGGTGGATCTATACAGCATCTGAATGCCACCGTGGCCCAAGTTGCCGAACAAAAAGAGTGGGCAAATTATTTTGTGGAGAGGCAGTCATGGGATGAATACAAAAACATTGTTCTGAGCCGGAGCTGGAACAGGAGCACGGTGTAGACAGCTCAGATGTTTTATTTTATTGTACCAGGAACGGCCCCACTGAGCTATGTAGCTCTATTTCAGAAGCAACCTGGCTATCACAAATGTCAGCTCAACGCAGTGGCTTATCATGCGGAGATTTATAGCAGCAAATATCCTAAACGCACTTTTATAAACGTGGAGGGATAAACCGGAGGACCTGGAGAAAAATCCAAATGACCATGGGGAGAGAACACGCAGACTCCAAATATACAGGCATCATCAGGGTCTGGATCAAACCTACAACCTTCTGTATACCAGGCGAGGTAGTTAACATCTCCAAGCCACCGCACCCTCTTCTTTTCTGCAGTAGACTGTGGAAAGGAAGTTCCAGATTCTGGGGGCAGCAGAGGAGCATGAGCGACCTCCCACTGAGCGAAAGGTGAAGCCTTGGGTGATGGAGCGGAGAGCTTGTGGTTAGGGAGTAGAGTGAGATGAGAGGGGAGAGGTAGGAGAGTGTGTGGAGGGGAGTAGAGTGAGATGAGAGAGAGGAGAGTGCGTGGAGGGGAGTAGAGTGAGATGAGAGGGGAGAGGCAGGAGAGTGAGTGGAGGGGAGTAGAGTGAGATGAGAGGGGAGAGGTAGGAGAGTGCGTGGAGGGGAGTAGAGTGAGATGAGAGGGGAGAGGTAGGGGAGTGCGTGGAGGGGAGTAGAGTGAGATGAGAGAGAGGAGAGTGCGTGGAGGGGAGTAGAGTGAGATGAGAGGGGAGAGGTAGGGGAGTGCGTGGAGGGGAGTAGAGTGAGATGAGAGGGGAGAGGCAGGAGAGTGAGTGGAGGGGAGTAGAGTGAGATGAGAGGGGAGAGGCAGGAGAGTGAGTGGAGGGAAGTAGAGTGAGATGAGAGGGGAGAGGTAGGAGAGTGTGTGGAGGGGAGTAGAGTGAGATGAGAGGGGAGAGGTAGGGGATTGAGTGGAGGGGAGTAGAGTGAGATGAGAGGGAGGAGAGTGCGTGGAGGGGAGTAGAGTGAGATGAGAGGGGAGAGGTAGGAGAGTGCGTGGAGGGGAGTAGAGTGGAAGCTGACAGAACTCTACCATTTGTGAATATTCTGCTCGGACGGGGTAGAAATGGTAATATAACAGTGTTTATCGAAAGAAAACGCCTATCTGAATGCAGTCACACCATCACCCCGCACAGAAATCTCCTCTCATCAAAACATTCATTCATCGAGCTAAGAAAGTGTCAGACGGTGACAGTCTGAGAAGTGAAATTCAACATGTTAAAGAAGCGCTGCAAATAAACGGTTACAATGATGCACAAATTAACAGGGCATTGAATATCAAATCCAAATCAAATAAGAGCATTGAAACACAATAGACAGGAAGGACAAGTTCACATTGTGCAAGAACGCAGAAGGGTGGTCAACACATCTACACCTCTATATAAGAAACGAAACAGTAAGACTTCTCCACAAATCTGGCTGTCGCCTGATTAAACTAGTTATAATTCCTGGCAAAACGTCGTACTCAGTTTGTAAATGTTGTGGCTTGGCTCTCCAACACACCGATGTGCTGTACTAGTGACGAATTGGCACGTTCTGTTTACGCGACAACCCCTACTAGTTGGCTGTGTCGGGTGGTGGCAGGTTTTAA